GTTGTGGTTGTGTTGGGGGGGGGGGGGGGGGTGGTGTGGTTAAGGCTACACGGAGATTTAATATTTGTGGTTTTAGTATTATAGGAATCTGAGCTTGGAACTTTTGCTGGTTTCTGAAGCTAATTGGAACAAAACTGGGGTTGTTTTGAGCTTGGTTTTGGGATGCGAATGCGATGCACCTGTCAACTCTCTTCATAAATTCCAAAATAGAATTGTATATTATACTCAAGTCTATCTTTCTTGTCGCATATGTTAAAATTCAAAGTTGTGATTGTGAATGACGGTAAAAATCAGCATATCCCACTTACAATCTCCAACAACAACACACCAAAGCTAAAGATATCCAATTTCTCAGAAAAATTGCCATAGAGTGCATATTCAGGTGACATGTAGCCGCTGCACAAACAATAGAGAAGTGAGCAACAGTAAAGATTGCATAAGGTTTACGTGAATGAAAAACCTTTGCTCTGTATACTTACTGTATGAGCAAATTTCCCCATGAGAATATTCGATTAGAAAGATTCCTCTCTCTTTTTCGCCGCCTTTTTTTCCCTGCAAAATAGAATAAATAAGAGGACCACACCCGAGGGGTGTTGGCCAAAGGCCCTCCAATGCCTAAATTAGTTCAATTGAATCGTATAAAAAACAATAGCTAATAGGGTACGGAGATATGGTTATGGTGTAAAATGGGCGGCCGGAGCCTTATGTAAAAGAGAGAGAGAGAGAGAGAGAGGAAGGAGGTGGCTAGGGTGTGAGAGGAATTTTCTGCAGAGTTTCAGTAGAGATTTCAGACGTACCTCAACCTTTATGTGTGGCCATTCTTTTATAGTGGTCTTGGAGGCTAGGGTTTCAAAGGAATAATTCCGTAGATGGAAAGAGATTATTCCTCCCTGATTTTGAATTGATTTGATTAATTAGGGATTTGATTTATTACGGTAAATCAAATCCCTAATTGTGGTAGGTAACAAACCATTTCCTAATTTAATTAGGTAACTCCTCATTTAATTGGGAATTGTGGTATGAATCAAGTCAATTATCAACCTAATTAGGTAACATTCCATTTAATTGGGTAATCCTCAATTAAATTAAGTAACTCCAAATTAGTTTGAATAATTCCCAATTAGGTCAAATAATCCCCAAATGGAAGGAATTATTTGACTTAGAGTTTTGATTTAATTCGGTTCCCACAAATGCCCCCCAGCATCTGCATGGCGCGTGGTGACATGTAGGAGATGTGAATTATCTGTTGGGCTGTCCAGCTGTAACTTGGTTTCCTTTAGTGAGTTGGACTCCTTTTGCAGACTGGGTTCCCAATTGGAGTGAGCTTTTGACTGTTCTTGGAGTTGGGTTCCCAGTAGGAATAGGCTTGCGATTCTTTCTTGACCTAGGATGCCCAACCTGTGTAAATGCAGGGCTTCTCTCCACTCTTCTTCACATCGCAAACTTAACTTCTCTACTTTCTAGCTTGAGAGAGATCTTGGAGAATTTGTACTGCTTGTCGAAGAGAGGAGTTGCCGTGCATCCCAAGGTAAGTCGAGCTCTTTTTTTTTTGGGGCGAAGGCTAGCTTGGTGGACCAGGCTGGTTGTCGTCATGACTAGTGGCTGAAGGTTGGAGTAGTGGTGGTCGCTGGTGGCTGCTGAGCGAGTATCGGGAGGAAGTTGGTAGTCTGCCCCCTGCCCAGGATGTTGAAAGATAGAAGCATAATGGTCCATACATGGATGATCTGTTGGCTGGGCAAGAGGAGTGTTCTGCCGGACACCCCTTCAAAAAGGAAGGCTAATGTCAAGTATTCAAGAAATGAAGCTGCGACTTCGTTGGCGAAAGATGCGTCCCCATTGAGGAAGAAGCCAAGGATCCCTTCTACTGAGAAGACTCAAGTAAGAGCTGTTCCATCGTCATCTGCTAAGGTCAAACATCTCGTTGGTGCAGATAGCAGGAAGGTTGGTGGTATGCGTGGTGTTCAGGGTGTTCTACCTAAGCCTCTTGCTGACAAGCTTGAAAACCATGATCTGCTTCCTGGAACAGCTCGTGCCCTATCTCGTTCTGCCGAGCATCAAAGAGATGCAAATATTCATCTTCGAAGTTCGAGTAGTCTGCATTAGTCAAATAATGAAGATCGATGTGGAAAGTCTGCTCATGATCCAGTTGTTGAGTCACGAGCAGTCAAGCGTGGAGTTGATTCAGCATCATTGACTTCATTCGAGGTGAGGATGGCGGCAACTAAGGAGATGAGAGTCATCTCCCCGGGCGAAGGTTTCCTTAGAGTATAATCAGTGAGAAATAGTAGTATAATCACATCAAAAGAACACTAAAAAGATGCACAAAACACATCAGATGAATATGATAAAGCCAAAATATGGAATCCGACTAATTGCTATTTCTTCTATGATATCTATAGGTTTCCTATGTACCCCCCTCAAATAGTTGTGTGTTGAGCTAGCAATAAATCTGGAAAATGGCAATAAAACAAAACTTGGAAAGAAAGATATAATATATTAAACAACTTTACTACCGGATCAACAATTAATCATTCAGCTCCACCTACACATCAAATTCATAAATACAGCTTAAAACGCAAAACAACTCCTTTACAACTTTCAACGACAACAGAAAGAAGAAGTAGAAATTGGACCGACATTCAACTTTGAGCCTACTTTGCTAACAGAAGAAGAAGAAAGGTAGTTGATGCTTGATGGATTGGTTTGGATCTAGAGAGAGAGAGAGAGAGAGGTTGTTTCTCTTGAGAGAAAGACAGAGTGAGTGGCGGTATGAAGACTCAGATAAGATGGCTTCAATTCAAGGTAGGTTAATTTTAGAATTAAAATTATAGAAATGCCCTTGCTGTTAACGGGTTAACAAGTGATTCGCGAATGATACTGACCTAACCCGTTAGCTTAACGAGTGACTAACGGGTCCACCCGTTTTCAATCCGACCCATTAAGCTCAACCCAAATACTGTTATTTTCGTGCGAATTCGTGTCGTGTTAACGGGTCGTGTCCAATATTGCTGGGTCTACGTAAGATGGTTCCCCTTAGGAAGTTGGTGAGTGCCAGGGTCCTCCTTGAAGGACTTCGGGCGTGTTCTGCACATCTTGTAGGATGCCTTAGCAGTCGCTTTGCGTCTCCTAAAGGACGCTGCTTATGGGCAACTACATGACCATCCTGCCTTCCTTAGGAAATGGAAAGAAACCTGGATACCTCCCTTAGGAAGCATGGAGACCTCCCTCAGGAAATTCCTGGCGCATCCTGCGTCTCCCTGAGGACACTTCTCTACGGGCTGAGTATCTTGTAAGACACTTTTGATTGTTACCCTGCGTCTCCCTTAGGACGCTCCTTATGGGCAACTGTGTGACTATCCGGCCTCCCTTAGGAAACGGATAGGAACTTGGATATCTCCCTCAGAAAGCATGGAGACCTCCTTTTGGGAAATTCCTAGAGCACCTTGCGTCTCCTTTAGGACGCTTTTTACAGGCTATGCCTCCCGAAGGATGCTTCTGGTTGTCACCTTGCGTCTTCCTTAGGACGCTTCTTATGGACAACTGTGTGACTATCCTACATCCCTTAGAAAGAATGGAGATCTCATTTTGGGAAATTCCTAGCGCACCCTGAGTCTCCCTTAGGACGCTTCTAGTCGTCGCTATGCATCTCTCTTAGGACCCTCTTTATGGGCGACTATTTTCCGGTGATCTGCTTGCCAATGAATTGTGAGCCATTGTCGATAATCAGCCACTGTGGGCAGCCAAATCGGTAGATGATGTTTCTCCAGATGAATCGCTAAACATCAATGTTTTTAGTAGAGGATAAAGCTTCGGCGTCGATCCATTTAGTAAAATAGTCGGTGGCGACGATTATCACGTCCTTCTTAGCAGGCGCCAGTGGCAAAGGACCCACTAGGTCAATAGTCCACTACATGAATGGGCATGGGCTGTTTTGCGAATGGTAGACTTCGGCAGGCAGGTTAGGGATCGGCTTGTATCGTTGGTAGCGATCACATTTCTTGACATATTCGGTGGAGTCATGTCGCATGGTAGGCCAGAAGTAACCTATGTTTAGAGTGGTTGCCACACTCGTCATCTAGGCGAGTGACCTGACCCTAGAGTGATTGCCACACTCGTCGTCGTGAATTTTGCAGAGAACCTTAAGTGTTTTAGGGTACTTTATGCAAGTGAGATGAGGGCCGGATTATGATCTGCGGATGAGCTTGTTGTCGTGCATGTAGTATCTCACAGCCTTCTGCTAGACCTTTCTAGCTTCAGACTTGTCCGTTAGCAGGTTTTCATTCATCAAGTAGTCGATGATGGGGTCTTGCTAGCTAGGGTCCTCATCAATCTGCATTGTGTCGATCGGCTCTACTTCTTCAATGCTTGGACAGTCAAGGTGTTTGAC